AAAGACTGAGGGAACTGGGCTTATGGAGTCTGGAAAAGAGAAGACAGAGAGAATTTAATAGCAGCCTTTAACTCCCTGAAGGGTGGTTCCAGAGAGGATGGATCTAGACTGTTTTCAGTAGTGGCAGATGACAGAACAAGGAGCAATGGTCTCAAGTTGCAACAAGGGAAGTTTAGATATTAGGAATAAACTCTCTCACTAGGAGGGTAGTAAACCACTGGAACAGGCTGCCCAGAGAGGTTATAGGATCTCCATCCTTGAAAGTTTTTAAGATGTGGATAGACAAAGCCTTGACTGGGATGATCTAGTTAGGGCTGGTCCTGAGGTCCCTTCCAACCCTAATTTTCTACGATGTAAGAAAGTAAGACAGAGATGCACTAACTGCAGCCCTGAAACAGGAACTCCAATTACATCCTTCCCACTCAACACTGCTGCTGTAATGCAGGGAGCTTTCCCTGCAAGGAGCATCTCTATGCACCAGTGAATCACTGACCACAAATTTCTGTTGGAGCAATGGAAGCAGGAGTGCGGTGCAGAAATGGTCAGCTCAGCTGGGTGTAACAGCCACTCCATTCTACACTGCATCTGCTGAAGGCAAAAGCCTCAGTCTTTTAAGTTAATTAAAATTTAAATTAATCAGAACTGCTGATATGACCCCAGAAGAGCTGGCAATTTTGCTGCTCTTCTGTCATTACAGCCACAGGTGTTTCACCTTCACCCAAAGGAACAGGTGGTTGCAGCAGCAAGTACACAACCAATCAAGGAAATGAGCTTCCTAAGAACACATCAGAAATTAAAACTGAAATCTGATGTTTGGGGTAGTAAGATCTGCTTCTTACAAATACAGATAGCAGTGGAGTGGCACTGCCTTGACTTGGCAGGACAAGTTATTCTTCTAGCTTAGGGGTTCTCATTATTAACTGCTAATAATGCAATGCTCTTGGTGTAATGCTCCCAGCTAACAGCAGCTGTGAGGTTAATCTCTTCTGTATTTGGTGTAAGGAAGGAACCTGTCACATAGAATGAGGAAATCCCAGCCTTGTCCTGCCCTGTAAGAAGCAATGTTCAGGGAGGAAGCACCCTCTCTTTAATGGAGTGACCAAATGTGGTTGAGAGAGGTTGTTGCCTTGTTCCATAGAAAGGACAGAGGCTGCAAATGTTGTCCCAAGATGCCCATTTCACAGCAGGTACAACTGAGGCAAAGGGAGGCACTTACTGGTTTGATTTTAATAAAGGGCAGTTTTAGGTACAGTTTCTGACTTGAATTTCTGCCTCCTCTGTTCCTGTTGAAGGATCGCAGGCGGCCAATGCTCCAAGACACTGATTGTACCAGGCTGCCCCCCTTCTTGTGATAAAATGTCCACGAGTTCCATTGTCCGAAAGCCAACCATGCATCGGTACATCAGCACCAAAGTCCTGCTGGCTGAGGGTGGAGAGACACCCTTTACCGAACACTGCCGCAACTATGAGAACATGTACCGGGTAAGAAGGGGGTAGGTGGAAGATGATTTGCCACCGCCCATGATGCATCAGCCCTGGAAGTGTCCTTCTGGGAAGGGGTTCTCTTCACAAAACAGTGTCAGTGCCCAAATGGGAAGAAAAATGCAGCACAACTCCTGTGACAGTACAGGGCAACTCACACTAAGGAGCAAGGGTGAGAGAGATGGTGAAGGAGCCTAGTTCTTCAGTTAAAGGCTCTCCACTGCTGCCATTTCAGAAGCACTGTATCCATTCATTTCATTTCATCTTCATCACTTGCTGCTTGGTCATGTAAAAACAAAAAATTAGAAACTTTAGGCCCAATCACAGTGGAGCTACTAACTGGCCCTGACTAAGCACACTGTCTGCAAGTACATCCCAGGTGCGTAAATGTTAGGGGCTTACAAGCTTGATGGCTTTTAGCTAGAACCCAGGTAACGAGGGAGATGCGAAGTCCAGGCAGACATACAAATGGAACTCCCCAAAGTCCCCTTTGGGACTTAAGAGAGGCAACCTGTCCCATATGCAGTGACCAGGCCTTCTGTCCTTCTAGCAGTGACCTGGGGCTCCTGTTAGATGCCTGGGATACATAGAGATTCCCAGGGAGAAGACAACAGTGGCAAGAAAATCATGGGTATGGGATTTTGAAAAACCAACCCTGTTTGAAAAACCTCCCCTTCTCTAACCAACCCTCCATCTCCTCAGGAGAGAATGGCCCAATCAGTCCCCTCCTTTCATGTTTCCAATTCAGACCCTACAAACAGAGATCCAGAACCTGAAAGACCAAGTGCAGGAGCTGCACCGTGACCTCACAAAACACCACTCCCTCATCAAGACGGAGATCATGAATGAGATCCTGCAGAAGTCCCTCCAGGTGGATGTGCAGATCGCCTCGCAGTACTCATCTGTGGAAATGATGCGGAGCGTGTTTGAAGAGGTATGCTTCCTATAGCCAGAGGTGTAGCCCATCCACCACCAACAACTGCCAGAGAATGGGAAAAATGAGTGCTTAGGGACACATGTTCTGGAATTCTGCCAGGCCTCAAGCCCAAATCATCCAGAACTGAGCACCAGTGCCTCTCAGAGTGGGAAGGATAGGTAGCACAGTACTTTCCTAGCACAGCTGGCTTCTTGCCCCACATTTGCATACTTCAAAGTTCCCCTAAATGAATAGAGCATAGGAACGAGCGAGACCAGCACTGCAGATTCACTTTTCAGGTAGGAGGAGAAGGGCAGAAACATGGTAGAACAGAACAATATTATAATGGAAACATTAGTTTAGATTTAGGTGCAGAGGTCGACATTATCTGCCAAGACTTTTCCTGTTCTGCCAGACCAAAAGTTCATCCACATCACATTCTCTACAATAGCCACTGCACAGCCCAGAGACTGGCACCAGGTTCCAATTAGCTAGCATGGATGTTGTGAGCAGTCAAGCCTAGCACCACAGATATCAGAGCAGGCTAATTTACACTGCTAAAGAAGGTAAATTAGCCTGCACCAAGATTCATTCTCCCACAGATACCCAAGCTAGTAGCGGCCTATTTCTATGCTACACTGGGGTGACTGCCCCATAGACATACTCAAAGATTGTTCTCAGCAAACTGTACTGCGTTGGGAGGTGGGTGAAGGTGGCTGCACATGGGGCCTGAGCCCAATCACTATGCACCCAGGCAGACCGACTCAGATCCTAAACAGATAGGAACTTTGGGAAATAGCAGTCCCAAGTCCTGGATACTGCGTTATGAGACTTGCCTGTAGAAAGGATTTAATGCCAAGTCACAAGCTTCCTTCTTGCTTTCCACAAGCAGGTCACAAGAAATATTCTTGGTGGGCACTGAAGGCTTCTGATGCTCTTGTGTTTGCAGCCTTCACTTAGATGCTGAGGAAGAGGCTCTCCCAGACTGAAACAAGGACCAATAAATAGCAACATCCGGGGGAGAGTACATCTCAGTCCTCCATTGCAATGCACTGTCCAGCTCATTGTTTTTGTTTCAGATTTGGGAGGAAACATATCAGAGGGTGGCAAATGAGCAGGAAATTTATGAAGGTATCTGTGACTGCCCATCCACTAACCCACTGAACCTTCAAGACACTGTGCCTCCACCAGCTGTTATTCTATAACATGCATTTGCTATGCTAAATGGTATTGACACTTTGCAGCCTGTGCATGGCCATAGCATATCCACCTCAAAGGGGACATTTCATACCTGAGAGCTACTAAATTGCTCCTTTGCACACTGTGCTAAGGCTGTCCTGTGTAGGAACCCACATAGAGTACAAGACCTTTCCCAGCTGGCACAATCCTACACACATATATACCATGACATCTCCCCCTAGCCCTGCTGTTCCCCCTCCAACCTACCATAACTCTCCCTTGTTCCATGCTAAATGGCTAGACAAGAAGGCTATGTCAGCAACACCCTCCCCTCCACCTACCCAGATTCAGTTACATGAAGGGACGATGGGACCGAGGAAATGACAGTAACTGTTCAGCCACTTCCCACCACAGACAGGAGCTGACAGTGTCAAGCCTCACTGCAGACAGAGCCTAGAGCAGGGGTCAGAAACATTTTTGGGCAGACTGACAAAAACACTTGCAATCTCAACTTATAAGACGTTGGTGTGCCAGGGGTGGATGGCAGTGGAGGTGCAAGGGGCCCGATCCTTGTTGTAGCAGAACAACCCTGACCCCTTTCCCAAGGTGTGAGTGCCAATCAAAATGCCTTCACATGCCACATTCTGGCACACGTACCAGGGGTTGCCTACCCCTGGCCTAGAACGTAAAGGGCAAGAAAAAAAAACCCAACAGCCCGGAATTAAAAAACAAAACAAAACAAGAGGCCTAAAGAAAGTCTAAGGCAACACAGCTGAGCACAGAGCAGAGACTGAAGTGTCTGCTGAGCAAACTGGCTTTGCAGGCCCTTTGTGGGTGCTGGCTGACTGCAGCACAAGATGCCAGCATGCGATGCTTCAATTTTTTTTGACTACTAACATTTGCCCAGTAGCCTAGAACACAGCCTGAAACTGAAAGCATCAGTATATAACAAGGTTCCTCACGGACAAAGAAATCCAGGCTGTCATACTGGGTGACTCAATAAAAGCATGTCAATGGCAGTCGGAGGGACAGGAGTCAAATGGCCCTTGAGGCAAACTGGCTTGCAGATCAGAAGCTTTACTTTGACCAACAGCACATCACCAGATGCTATGACAATGTGCTCTTTTCCACACAGCACAGTTACATGACCTGCTGCAGCTGAAGCAGGAGAACAGCTACTTGACAACCATCACCAAACAGATTGCCCCCTATGTCCGCTCCATCGCCAAGGTGAAAGAACGGCTGGAGCCTAGGTAAGGAAGCAGGCACATTTTCCCATGTGGAGGGCTTGACTTACTTTGAACTGTGCACATGGGTCTCCCTGTATAGGCCCTCAAATGGACACTGTCCTTGCTGGGTTGCCAGATACCCTCTCTCATTTTAGGAGAGGTAAGGCATCCTGGAAGGGGGGGGGAGGGGGAGGTGTCAGGGTGGAGACGAGAGACAAGAAAATTTGTAGCGGCCAAGCCATACTTTGGATTGTGGAAGAAACAGGATGTTCAGTAAACATAAAACATTGGTCTTTATTGCTACTTGCATCACTGCTCACATTGTTTTCAGCCACAACTACTGCAGCTGACTTCTGTCTTCCCCTTTCAGATTACAAGAGCCCAAGGAATTGAAGGATGACCCATCAGAAACTTTGCTCAAAATTTATGACGACAGCCCAGCGACTACTGACATGCAGCACAGGTAGAGGATGGATGTAAATGGCTTAGGAGGCAGAAAGCTTGTCAGAACATGACACTAAAATAAGTCAAGGCAGTGATTATCCATCTTCTCAATACAATTTTAATATTTTAATTGAGAACATTAAGGAAATGCAGGTAGGCAGCTTCCAAGCAACACAAGTGTTGCAGCCTAAGAACATAAGGCTCTAGCCACAGGTCCATCCAGCTCAGTATCCTGTATTGTACAGTGGCAGGGAGTGAGGTTGTGGTATCACATGCACTTGAAAGTTAGGAGTTGGGGTTTTTGAACACTATGTGTCCTCACCAAGTTGCAGCTCATTCTAGTTCTATCTCACCACTCAGCTTCTGCGTGCATTCTGTCCCCCACCCCCAGATTCATTCAGTATCTATAACTCTAAAATGTAACTCCCTTGGTATTCAACAAGAGGCAAAGGGGAAGAAAAAAATGGTTAAGTAGTACTTAAACCAAGAGTTTGTTTCTAGACATGTAGTCTGAAAGGGTTCAGAAGCTAGGATTTTCTGTGGCACCTGGAGAAGCTACCTTGCAACCAGCATGCAAATACAAAGGTACATTTCACCCGTTTGTTAATGGGTAAAATGTACCTTTGCATTTGCATGGAATTTGGTGGCAAAGATGTGGAGGAGGAAAAAGGACAAAAAGAGAATACCTTTAATAGGCAAGACAGACAAAGTCCCAAAGAACCTTGTCTGCCTATGTCCTTGGACCAACACAGCTACAACCTACACCCCTTTAATATACAAGGGAAGTACAGCCAGGAATGCTGTCACCTATCACTGCAAGGCAGCAGCTGAGGGAAACCATGGGATGAAATAGAAGACAGCAGCCAAAGCTTTTCAGTGCTGCCCTACACACCTGCCTGTTATTTGACAACTGGTGCACTCCACCTGGGAACTGAATGCAGAAGGGAACAGGGGAGAGAAGAAGCACAGACTTGTCAGTTGTCTGTCTGTCAGCCCTGTCAAGTTGTCTCATTGCCCCTGCAAATGCATTCAGTGGTGTGAAGCTCCCTGCTATCCATGGCTGGAAGGCTACAGAAACTCACCCAGTGTCAAGGGCAGGGGGTAGACATCAGAGTTTTTATTTCTAAACTGCTTTAAATTGATAGTGACCCAAGTAAAGCCCATAAAGGATATGAATATAAAGGGTAGGAAAGACTTAATAAGATGACTCATTTTAATCATCTCTACCAGAAATACTACAAACTCAATACAGAAACTATGGGAGAACTGAGAATAAAACCACTGCATGGCAGCTACTGGTCATAACAACAGTGGACTGATCATCTAGTAGCCCTCTTCTATATAAGAGCTCATAAATAAAATGAGCAAGCCACAGGGCAATTAGTCTCTGATTTGTCAAGGTGCTTTCTCTACTCTAGGAATGACTTGACAAGCAGCAGTGGAGACAGTAAGGAGACTACTCTGGAGCCTAAAGTGGACAATAGAACCCTGAACATTCTCACTGGTGATCCTCTGCTGAAAACCAAAGACTCTTACAGAACCACACAGAGAAGTGAGACAGACAGCCCCAACCAGGAGGAATCTGCAACTTAGTAAAGGACAGCGTCACAAAAGCTGTATTGCTTTTCATTTAATACAGGGAAAAATAGCAACAGCTGTTTAATCATTAGTTTCTCAACTGCATGGTTAAGTCAGGGCTGTGTGTTACAGAGAATCTATTCACTGACAGACTTGACATGAGGGAGGACCAGCATTTCCAAATTTAGTGACGCAAAAACAAAGTCTAGAATTGTAGGATAAAGCTTCAACAATTCAGCAGGCCCCAGTGCTGCTTTCATTACACCAGCTGGGTTAAATTCATTTTCTTTGGTACCCCTACATCAGTCATTTTGGCAGTTATTGCATCTTCCCCACTGAAATTTGCATTCAGCGGATAAGTCCGTACCTAAGCCACAACGCTTCTGAGAGTACCTAGACAGCTTCAAGCAGCCAAATCTGCTAAGCTTCTGGAAGTTTGCATAACGAGAGAGTAGTATTAAGCATGCTTTTGACATTGTGCCTATTTATCTTTTGTGTATTGATTTATTTCAGATGCATAAAAACAGCCAGATCTATATAGGGTATCTTCACTGTTTTCCTCCCTCAGCTTATAGATTTTTTTAAAAGTTTAATAAGCAAAGTATTCTTCTATCAGCCTCCTTACATGACCTCAAATCTGTCTCCCTTCTCCCCCTGCTTATAAGATGTTTTTGTTTTGCTTGTTGTTGGTTTTTTGTTTTTGGTTTGTTTTTGTTGGGGGGGGGGGTGTTACACATTCATAAAAGAAAAAAAAAAAAAGAAAAAACTTGAACTTATCTCATTACTCTGAAGTAATGGCAACCATGCTCAAAAATGTTCCTCTGTTTATGCTGCAGAGTCCTCAAGTTTTGTTTTCCATACAACATGAACTTTTTATGCTGGAAGTCAGAAAAAAATAAAATGTCAACTGAATGCTTAGTCCAGTAGGGTTGTTATTGCATGGTGCACTGAACTGGGAAGTAGAGACTACCAGAGTCCGCTGACCATATGTAGGACCAAAACATGCACTCCAGCAGGCATGTTACAAAATCACCACAACTGTTCAGTTTACTTTGATCAAGTGCAGATTTATTTAAGAAATGTCAAGTAAATATCAACATTTGGAAAAGAGAAAAACCCTCTTAAATATATTAATAAGTATTTCTTATGGTAAAAAGAATAGAACCACTCTTAGTTTAATGCATACTTAGTCTCAGCAAGCTGTTCTGAGAGCTTGCTCCAAATGGATTGTGGAGTGATTCTAGCAACTATACATCTTTTTTTTTTTCCCCCAGCATAAAACAAACTTCAGATAACTGGCAATATAACATGTTAATGGTCTCCTACTGTAATAGGAATGCTGAGGTGTTTGTTTTCAAAGCAGGAGCCCACTTCCCCATCATATTCCAGGCCAACAGTTAGAGGTGTACCAATACATCAGTCCCATATCGGCTCGGCACCAATATAAAGGAAAATTCACTGTATCGGCAATCAGGGGTGGGGGGTTCGGGTCGTGTCTGCTGCTGCTACATGCAACCCAGGTAGGCATGGAGGGCATGTGCCCCCGAGAAGGTAGGCTGCCACTGTGGGCTGGGGTCGGAGCTGTGCCAGGCTCTTCCCAGAAGGGGGCTGTGCTGGGGCTGCGCTCAGGGCAGGTGGTGGTGGTGCTACAGCAAATTTTACAGTGGTGCTGGGAGTCCCCTCCCAGCACCACCACCACCCGCATTGAGTGCAGCCTGGCCCAGCACCCCCGCTGGGAAGAGCCTGGCCCCAGCCCCAGTCCACAGCAGCAGCTCACCCTTACCCCACGTGCAGATCTGGGGGCACACGCCCCCTCCATGCCCTCCCAGTGTGTGTATGATCATGAGAGCCCCCCCTCCCCTCATACCTCCCAGACAAGCCGCTCGCAGCTCCATCCTGCACCCTGCCCGGACTGTGCAGTGCCTGCCCCAGCCGCACTCCCTCCCTCACCATGGGGGCCTCGATCTGGCCTCCCCCACAACAGACTTATCATCTGGACACCACTCTCCATGCTGCCCAGCTGCATATTGGAATAGAATCAGTATCGGCTAATATGGCTCGTTAAAAATCGGTCATCAGTATTGGCCCCAAAATTCTCTATTGGTGCACCCCTACCAACAGCAATAAGCACATAAAACAAGCTACTCCAGATAGTAAGAAAGTATAATAGCTAGACAATTACTCTGTGCCATTTAAATTTTGTATCCCAACTGTCACAAAACACGTTATCTGTGCCACAGGCAGAAAACAAAAGCACGGAACTCAGAATACAGTTAATTCCTTACATTGTAAGTGTTCACAGAAAGCTAAATTTGGCGAGTTAGGTGCTTAAAAAGCAACTAAGTTATCTTTTAGATGATGTTACGGTGAGTAAGTTTCCCTTGTTTTTTTCTACTAAGCCATATTTCAGTTACCAAGAAGTAAACTAGGTTATCATTTCTGTTATTCATTTATGCTTTCACAGAACTTTGGCCAGTGAAAAATGACTACTCAATTTCCCTCTCCAGTGTTCCTGTATTAGCTTGTATTTAAGTTGCCAACGTTGCAGGAGATAGTGGGATAAAAGCCAAACATTGCAAAATTAAAAACTATTTTTAAAAATATATTATGCTTTGCAAACTGTTAAACATGGGCAAATCTGAAACTTATCCTAAACATAATGCCCTTTAAATGCAAGTTAAGAGTCAGCCAGCCACCAATCTGATTGTCTGACAAACTGAATTTGGTAGGGTGCTTTAAAATACAAGACAAGTCTCTTCCTTCATGGGATTCTTTTTTTTAATATTATATACAGGATAAGCAGCTCTCAAGCTGTATACATACAGTTTGCAATAGCAAACTGAAGTCCTTCCTCACAGAACTTCACAAAAGCAAGTCAGAGGCACAAGAAATTATGTGAACTTTAAGAAGGGGGTAGAAATCTAACATTTACTCATTGGTACCAAAGCAGAAAATTGTTGTTTATGTTTCCATTTTTTTTTGGACTCCGAGCTGCAGCATACAGAACGGCATCAGTTTTCTTAGTTTAAAAAAAAAAATTTTTTTTCAAAGGTATGCTGTATTTCCTGGGGAATTCCAATTTACTTTTTCACTAGGAATTTGAAATTTTCACAACGCAGCATGCAGAAAAGCAAGGAAGATCTGAGACTACTCCATAAACATGAAACATTTGTACTCCCTGGGCTGAGTGGGAACCAACTTTTCAAAGCAACCTAGAGTAATTCATGTATTGCTGGAAGTGATGGAAGAGTGAGCTATAAATATTCAAACATTTGTCTGTGAACACCTTGATGAGCTGATACGCCCTGCACAAACTTAATTATACTCAAGTTAGTCAGGGTAAAATATTTACTATTAATATCAACATCAACTTTTGGGACATCACCACTGTATTCAAATACAATTTCAGTAGGGTTACTGGAGACTGAAAAGGTGCTTTTGGTAACTGCTGCTCTTCTGTTCAGAGTATACCATTTGCTGCGACCATTCCTATTTCTGTAGGATTTGCACATACCATACAAAGTTTTCTTATATCACCACAACTTAAAGTATATGGATTCCCACTGTTTCAATGAGGCTTTTTCAACAAAACCAGCATGGGTGCTACTGGCCGGCCACTTCCATTATTCAGAAAAAAATTCTTCTTCTGCCACAGGTGCAAGTATGTCATTTGCATGTTGATTCAAAACTTGCAGATTTCTTTCAAACCCGATGTGTAACTCATTGCATTAGACTTCAAGCTCAGGAAACACAGCAAATGAGTACAGTAGAAACACCCATAAAATATATGCAGGCTGCTGTTTTCTCTAAAAGATGCCATATTCAGAGATTCATAAAGGTCTGTCACCTTACCAAACTCTAAAATAACTGCCAAGAAAAGATACATTTCTTATCTGCCCCAAACAGACTTGTTTAAATATACTAATGTGAACCAACTATTAAAACAGCCAGGTTCCTCCCATCACCAGTCCACAAGCTAGTCATATTCAGCTTTATGTTGAAGTAGTTACTGGGCTGGAAATCAAGTAGAAGAATGCAAAAACCCTACTGTAAACACTTTTGAACCAGGAAAGGGACCTGGGAAATCTCACCAACTTTCCTTCTCACAGTCTCATTAACAGGTTTTGGCCATATAGAGATTTGTGATGGAGAGAAAGATGATTCTTTCCAAATAGAAACATTCACCACCTGTGTGAAAAAGATGGCATTAGCTAAACTCTTCAAAAATAAAAAAACTAGAGAATAAATACACATTCAAGTTTTTTTTAGGTTTACAAATGTTTGACCCACACAGTAATCCCCACAGCACCTAATCATAACACTGAGACGTTTCTTTCTTAAACAGTTTTTGACCCAATAAGTTATTTTTTGTATAAAAAGCACCAAGTCCTGAGTCCTTTTTTTGCAATCTGGAAAGCAACCACACAATTTGCAACACATTTAAATTTATTCTGTTAAAATTGCATTGGGATTGGCATCTAATTCGGTGAATTTTAAGTGGCTGTAGTGGTTTGGGTCGTCCCCCCCCCCTTTTTACTGTATTTACATAAGAGACAATTAAAACTCCTTTTTTACTGTATTTACATAAGAGACAATTAAAAGATTTTTCTGCCAGAAACCAAAAAAATGCAGACAAGATTTACCATGTATAGATTTTAACGTATCAAATATTTCTGAGGTATGTTGCCTGAGGGCTGCAAAAATTACAATTCCCTTTTAGAAGTACGCTGGAGGTACTGCTAATGCTGAGGAACAAACTGAACATGAACCAACAAAAATTAAATAAATATGCAGAGAAGAAACAACACTAGCCTTACCTAGCTTTTTACTCCTCTCTCAGCCAAAGAGAGTATTCGTTAGAAAACTCTAAACAGTGAGCATTTTAACTAGGAAAAAACAGTCAAGACAGAAGAGGCCTTGCATTTCAACAGTATGACCTGAACAGAGAAGAAATTTCACAATGTAAAAAAGAGACTAAAGATTAGTCTCTATATCCCTGACTGCAATTCTACAGGAACCAATGAAACTGAAAACTGAATTTCCAGTCTCATTTTGACACCAAGAAGGATTGAGTTTGCAAGTGGAATCTTACAATTCAACATTGCCAATATCACCAAAGAATCTCTCCTGAACTGCAACCAGATAAAAGTTAGCAACATTTTTAGAAAAACATTTTAACCTCATCAATACCTGATTTTCCAAACTGGTACAATACCTTAATTAAAAGAATACTACAAGCCAGGTAGTTGTTTATCAATACACCATTCTTATTTCAGTCAGACTATGCAGAATCAGGGAAAAGTGAACCTCTTTGGTATGTAACAGAATAAATTATACCACAAAGTCTGAATGTAAACTATTTATCAATGATGATATTATAAATATCAACCCAATTAATCAGCCAAATATTTTCCAACATCAGAATATTTACTTGGAAATACCCACCACTCCAAATAATATCAAAAGTATATTCCACCAAGCAGAAATCTGCCTTAGCATATCTATCTTAGCACCTAGAACTTTTCGTTTGTCTGACAGTTACAGTTCTTTCCCTGTGCTTTACAAGAACTGAAACAAACTTAGGATTTCTCTAAATTGAAGTTTATTTTCTTTGAGCTAAGAAAGACCTAACCATTAAACGCATCTGAATGGTAGGAGGCAGCATGATTTTGACGACTTGTACAGGAACAGTCTCTGTACTGACAGAACAGGCTCTTAAGGACAGAATTATATGTAGAGTGGCTAACTGTCAATGACACCCAAATCCATGGCATAAAGTAACTGAGGGACGTGACTTAATATTTAGATTTGAGTTTAAACTTTTGTGAAGCATAACAGAAGCTTTGGTTTCCAATTTAAGAAAATTATCAGTGTTGACAAAAGCTCCCTATTAACATTTACAGCTAGGGAAAAACTGTTTTTGCTGCACTGCCAGTTTTTCTGACAAGCACATACCCAAAGTGATATGTAAGTTCATGTGTTTAATAGACAGAAATGAAGGGCCTGATCCTGCAAGACTCCCAAGCATAAAGTTATATCACACTATGGGCTTGCTGAGCTTTAACCTCCAAAGAAGTTAAAGCTGTGCTCTCTAGCTTTTAAAGTCAAAATGCTCCAAAATTAACATTCCACCACAGAAAGGAGCTTCCAACCAGCACCCATCATCTAGTACAGGGGTAAACAGAAAGAAATGTAAAGCTCATTCTCCAACAGGGCGTGTCACAATGCATTATAGAAGTTGTAGGTGAAATGTTTAAAAGTAAATCATCTTTTTACCAACATTTTGCTTTGTTTTAGGACCATGGCAGGTTAAATAATCCAGAAAATCCCTTAAGCATCAAAGAAGGTCTCATCTCAACTAGGACGAATGAGCTTCTGATATTTTAGTTTACTCAGCAGGATTTCTAGTTGTTTAGCCCTTAACAAACTTCCGGTTAGTTACCAGCAAATACAGATTGGCTACTCCTGGAGATTGCTGTGATACAGTATCATGCATAGTTCCTTTCCTTATGATGCCCGGAGCTGGAAGTTTACTCATTCAGCTTTTTTTCATGTGTTACAGTTCCACTTTAACTCCTTTGATAAAAGGCAGACCTGATGGCACCTTCTTTTTATACTCCAGGTATTCCTCGCCAAAAAAGTGAATTAACGTGATCTCCTCCTCTTCTATTCGCTCTCTAAAGAAACGCCAAGATGCTAAAGTGTAGCCAGTCACACAGATGGGATTACAGAGTAATACCTGTAAGAGGACACAAGTGGTTATACTCCAATTCAGCTGGCAGATCTCTGTCCATCCTGGGAGAATGATATTCCCCTCCTCCCTCCAGCAATAAGTGAAGATTCATTAGTTGTCCAAAATGCGTATGCTGCACTAAGACAGAATCTGCAGATTTTTATGTTGTGCAATATTAGTATTGATGGAGAAAGCCCCTAGTAAGTTTATTTATATTGTTTCAAAAGCCAGTAAGATATAAAAGGAACGTCCAGGCCTGTACAGCTTTACACAATGGTGATCTTTGCAGCACTCCATGCAACACTTCTATTTTCTGTTTAACAGCTATACAGTCTTACCCCTACAACTATAGAGTTCTAAAACAAAAAGAGAATAACTACAACATCTAATGTACTGGCTTTGTAAATTACAAGTTGCCTGAAACTGACTACAAGTTCACTTTTTGTTATTTGATCTGGGTTTTCTGTACTTATAGGTAGGTTAGTTTTCATTGCTGGTCCCAGACAGTACTAACAGATGCTAAGAATAAGGCAAGTCTGATGGCTTACTGAAAGACATTTTGGAAGTAAAGATGAAAAGAAAGTCTAGACATGCCCTGGAAGCTTTAAGGTTGCATGGCTAGCAGCAGATCTCAGCTTGAACCTCTGAATGTGTTCCAGCTCAAACCCAAGCTCCATTGCCTTGGCTTATTTCATGTAGAAAAATAAGGTGATAAGGTCTTCCCAAACATCACACAGGATGAAGAGTTCAGAGGCCAGCAGTTTCATGACTCCCAGCTAAAAGTATGCTGGTAGAAGACAGAATGTGTCAAAATCCATACCAGGCACTCCTGTAGTTGATAATTTGCTGTTTAAATTATATGCAAGTTTTGGGCAACATTAAGAAATAACTAGATGAGAAGATCAAAATAGCTAAGTGTATTTTATACGATACCTGTGTTCCAATACTCCAGTAAAACCATCCCACGTAAGACGGGTGCCGGAACCACCCATACACCCCACTTGTCACCAAAGTATGAGTATCCGATTTCTCATTCTGAACAATATGGTTGAAGTTGGAGCCAGCTGTGAGCATGGCAGCTTTCCTCAGACACTCCCCAAAGATCACCATCAATAACCCTATAGTACTGAGCCAGGTGATCTGCTTCATTTCTGCAAGTGAATAAGTACTGGTCACAACATGTTTTTACAGTTCACGTTTTTATTGCAGGTAAAAAGAAGCTTAAGAATAGAAGCTGGGTGAGAGGGAAAGGGGAAGAAGAAAAAAAGCAGCACATCTTCCAAATTCTTTAACCTAGGTCAATTCACCCAGAGAAAAGCCCAAAATTCTCAGATAACCCTAACAGATGGATAACATGATCTTGCTGTTTAAAGACAATATATAGAATAAAACAGATCGTGTATTCCTATACAGCAGAGAACAACATGGGGTGGGAATAAGAAGGATAGACTATTTACTCTTCACCTCCTATAGTGACAAAAATATCATCTCTCAACTTTTCCTAGTAAATCTAAATGCAAAGAGAGACTGGTCAAAAAATGCACAGCTATGCAGAATCTGATTCTGGGACAGAAAATTGATTCTGATGGCTTTAGAAGGCATCCATTAGTATGCTCAGCCCAATGAGGGCACAGAAGATACTCTAGTGAGCTTTCCTCATCAATTAGAGAGCAGCACTAAGCAAAGTCTCACCCAACCCTCTTCACTTGGGCATAAAATGATACGAGTAGAAAAGCACTTTTATAGTTTTTTTTAAAAGAGTTCCTAAATAATTAGTTTAGTTTCTAGCATCAATCTTGTTAGAACATTTTTTTAAAATCCAGTGATTAACACTTAATGTCCTATTTTAGTGTCAAATCTTCACTGGTATGTCAAAATAATTAAAAACCATCCTCAGTCTCAAGAGTTACTAAAGTATGGGGAAGGTTTGGAAATAAGGAAAAGGTTTGATTAGACAAACTCGGGGGGGGGGGGGGGGGGGGTGCAGCAATACAAGTGCCATGTTTCAATTTTGACATGCTTTATTATCAGCATCCCATGCAAAACATATTTCATCCCATGCTATACATAAGGCATGAAATCCTGGCCCTACAATGTTAGCAGGTCGCTTCTTTCAACTTTAGGCAAGCTAGGTTTTGACTCATGTAAATAAGGTTGTTGTAATCCTATAAACTGCTGTGAACGCAACCCTTGTGATACACGGCCTATATTCACCCACAAACAGATGCTGTTAAAAACACATCCAGAAACCTCAAATGAAGTTACTAACCTGGATAAATTACTTTTTCAACTGTGAACTCTATCCAAGAAGAGACAGCAGCTAGGTTGTATTCAAAACTGTGGTTTAGAAGGAAAGAGTCCAAAGAAAGGCTCCTAGGATTATTGATGGCAATCACCAAATACTCAGAATAATGGAAAAGTGACAGGGAACACATATACCTACAAGAGAAGAAACACACCAGATTCAAGCCAAAGCTGAGACAGCGGCATCCTGCTGCTCGTCTGCTCAACAGAACTAGTACTGCACAGCTTGAGATGTCGGTGCTCGTGCCCCAGCAACAGAAACCGATGCAATACATAGCTCTTCACACGCAGCATCTTGTTTGAGAGAGGCCTGAACCTCCTGACTTCTTCAAGGAGAAAACAATCAAAGCATTAAGTAAGGGCGCTATCGGCAGGCAAGGACCGCTCCACTTGGGAGACACCGCGGTGCTCACTGAAGCGACCCTGCAGTAAGTCAAGCACCGCAGCACCGAGGAGAGCGCTCGGCGCCGGTTCCGAGTGCGAGTCAGAAACGAGGGCACTGACGGCGGCGCGGCGCGGCTCGGCTCGGGGCTGGGCTGGGGCGGGCGCGGCGGGGCCAGGGCGGAACTGAGCGA